CTTCTTCTGATCAAAACCAGCTCAAAACTCCAAGAACAAACTCTCAAGACCTCAATAACCCAAGTATGGTGTAATACTAGGTGCCTTAGTGCAAAACTAAGAACAAAACACCCTTTTAAGCCCTCTAACACACACAAATGAAGAGAGAGAGAGAGAGATATAAGTTATGTGTATGCGGATTTTCCTAAATTATTGGGCACTCCATGAACCTTTTTTTTAGGAGAAATTTTCTACAGGTTCCATAATGTGCAGTTATAGTAAACTAAGTCCCATAAAAGATTTCTTTACCCATACATCCCACATGTCATCCCATGATTGAAATACCCTTACCTTTTTAAAATATAAGATGCTTGCAGAGCAACCAAAATGGCATGTTAGACGATTAGTTTTTTGATTTCAAAACTTCAAAATTCCATTAATTTTGTTCTACACATTTTTTTAAAATATGTATATATATATATATATATATTTGGAATGGAAACTATTTGAGGAGATCTATCAAAACAAGATTTATACAGTATAATTTTTTGAAGACATAAATAAAAACTAACAAATTTCGTAGTAGAAATTGAGAAGTTTCACAATTTTTAAAAAAATGAAAAAGACTTCAATTGTGATAAAATTCCACAATTTATGTACAAAAGCTATGAAATTTCATAGTTTCTATGCAGCAATGGTGAAAATTTGTAGATTCTCAATAAAAAAACTATGTAATTTCAAATTATGAACCAATCAATTTCACAGTTTCTCAAAGAGAAAAATTGAGAAAATAATATAAGTTTTAAAAAACCAAAAAATTTACTAGCTAGTTTTCAAAATATCCCACAATTTCCAGAAATTGTGAAATTCTACAATCTGTATTTGATACATTTCAGATACTTGTACATGGCCTTTTTTTGGAGTGTCCGTGGTTCATAGGCTTGGAGCCTATGCGTGCTTGGGGGCTTTATGTGAACTTGATTAAAGGGGCCTTGCTTGGCACATTATTCAAGACTTGATTGATGAGTGTGAAGATTTTATGGGGTCTAGGTGTGCTTTTAACAACTATAACCAAGGAGAGTTGATCCTGAGCCATCTAAATCCTAAAACCTATGAAGCATGGGTACTCCGAAAAACATGCCGTACCTGTACCGGGTACTTACCGACGTACCGTACCTCGTATGGTACTTCTGCATACGTACCGGGTACACGAAACACGTACCCAAGTTTTTTCTTCTTAATTTTTGACGTACCCAGACGTACCTAGTATATATCCAAGCCGTACCGTACCTCAGTTGAAACAATATTTTCCTTCTACTACAGAGATAAAACTCATTTCACTAGATTTCTTTTTTAGTTTTTGTTTTATGCTTAGTATGATTTTAAAATTAAACTATGGTTTGTAAGTTGTTTAATATATTGACATTTAATTTTGATTTATACTTTTTCTTTTGATATTAAATGTTAATTATAGGCTGGACCTTAACAAATTAAACCATTTAATTATTTTTTGCATTACTCTAAATTAAAATTTTTTACAAGCGTACCAAGCCGTACCCGTATCCTATTTTTTTTGAATTTTACCGTATCGTACCAGTACCAGTACTCGTACCCGTACTTGTGCTTCATAGCCTAAAACCATTGTCTTGGCCAACTTGGCTACATATGGGTAACACTTGAACTGTTCATTTTTTTATTTTGTTTTATTTCTTTCATTTTTATTATTTTTTATGTATGCGGAAATGCCCTTATCCAATTTTTATTTATTATTTATTTATAGAAAATTTCTATATGCTTGTGTGGAAGTTTTTGGATGATACTGATCTCCTTGCAGATTCTTAATTAACTTCTGTGATGATTTTGTACTTCTGAATACTTGCCTAATGCTCTCCCCACATATCTGGTAATATAGAGACTAAAAAAGACTATGTTTCCCCTTCTTAGAACAGAAATTTTCAGCTGCACTCAACGGCATTGTTGTCATTAAGATATTTCAATCACATAAATTGATCAAAGAAGAGTAAATATAATTCAACGTAACACCTGAAGGGAGGTCAGCCTTTTTTTTAGAAACTCAATGAGAAATAAATTCAGTTTCTAGGGATGGAAAAGGTCTGCGGTCCGCACTTGTCAGGTAGAATTAACTATAATTTGATGGGTTTTCTTTTGGCCACCCTGCGTTATTCTCCATGCCATTGGAGAAGGTGATGTTACAAGGATTTGTGCTTGCTTGTATTGCCTCTAATATGCCAGGGAGAGTGATTTTAGAGCTTTTTTAAAATGGAGATTCTTCTACAGTGATCAAGGAATTAAGTAGGTTGTTCATGGTACCTGGAAATAGGCTAAATGAGGGAGGTCCATCACTGTGTTATGAGTTAATTTCTCTTGAGTATGGTGCATATGATGAGGTGGATTTTCTTGCTGAGCAAGAAGAATCTCACTAGAGAACTTTAATGGATATTTCTACTCTCCTTGACAACAGGGTGGTGTTGGTTTATTTGTCATTAACTTATTTTGGTTT